GCGGCGACGGACATCCGTATTCGCGGGCTCCTGCTTTGGGAGTCGCATGAAGTCAACTTCCGATGCGAGCTACTGGCCTTGGATACGGCACTCGTCCACCAAGAAGACTGGTCGCAGGTCGATCGGTGGGAACGCGAGGCGGTTGTATCGGGCGTGTGGGGAGATCCGTCGTCCGCAGTTTCGGTCATCCCATCTTCTCCCTCCGACACTCCGAGGTTTCGGTGGATACTCCCTCCCGACGTTCGGTGGAGGGATTGCAGAATCTACTTGGCGAGATTCATTGCGATCGTGATGCGGTGGCCTGGGACCCCTCAAACTCTCCTAGACGCGAGGAGGACGGACCCGAACACTTGGACTGAGGACGAGTACACAGATCTGCAGCGAGCTTTGGTCGATTTCTACGTTCGCACTTTCGTTTCAAACTTCACCGTTTACCTATTCCGCCTATTCCGTACTTTACGAGCAGCATATGCACCGAACCGGCTAACTGAGAGCGGCAGGAATCCAGTCTTATACGATATTTCCTACCCGGTGGCGGCGGCGGTGACGACCCGGTTTCATACTGTACGCATGGACCCAGAGGGACATCAGATGTCTAGGTACGCACTTCCGGTAGTGGTGCGGGGGTACACCTTCACATCGGCTTGCAGATCTGTATCGGCGTCGTACGAGCGAAATGGCAAGTACCTACGAGACCGAAGTTGCGACTAGTGGACCCCCCGGCGAGTCTCTCCTTCTCCCTTTGCCTCGATGCGTCAGAGGTTCCGCTTCACTGATGACGAAAGCCGCTGGCTTAAACAGCACCTCTCTGATGCGGACGTTCAAAGCATCCTTCAGGAGCCTAGGACTACAGCCCCCAACAAGCGAGCCGCCGGTCTTCTAACTGAGAAGTTTCGTGCTCACTTCTCGGCTCCGAGTACGGGGGAAACGCAAGCAGCGTGGCTGAAGCGTTACAACAACGCGAGTCGCGAACGTCGCAACGATCTCGTTCGCCATGTTCCTGAAGATATTGTGGCATTCAGCGCGCGCATGCAGATGCTGCCTAAGGTGTGCCGTGGCCTTGCATTTTACTACGCGTGGTTGACGCGGACTCTCAGAACATCTACAACTGGCTGCGCGAGAACCGGTACACGGGTGGACGTCTTAGAGGGCACGATGGGCGTCGCCGTTCCCTGACCCTTCCGCGACCCCGGAAGCCTCGGACGAAGACCGGACTGGACGTCTTCCAGGCGTCGCCTGACGCTCCGCAGATCGAAGTGCTCGACTTAGGAGGCCGTCCCAGGGCAGCGATAGGTCAACTGCGCGCTGCCTGTGCCCACGCGTGGAAGATTCTTCCTCCCGAGGAACAAGATATCTACAACGCCGTCGCCCAGGAGAAGAACGAGGAGCTTGCCGCAGAGCGGGAGGAGTCCGTGCCCATTAATGGAGGGTTGTAAGTCCAGCGAGATATTCATTACGGTGTTCACGCTAACACTCGCGCCGCAGCACCTCCTTGGAAATCTCCAACGCGGTCGATGACAGTATGGACATGATCCACAACGTCCGTTGGGGCGGTCTGATTTGCGTCGGTGGGCCGGACGAGACGGGCGAGCCTTCTGTGTACATGTATGATCTCTGTATCTCACCGAAGCGTGGAAGTGACTGGCTGACATGTCCGCAGGACGTCGCGGGGTGTCAACAGACAAGGCCTCACCTTCCTGCAGGCCCTGCGCCAGACCGCTGGTTGGACTGAACAAGAATTCTACCTCGTGCTCTCCCTCTGGGTGGAGCAGTCCCGTTCCGGTTGGTGCATCGACCGTGAGGCTTCGGCATCGCTGACTGTCACACAGCTGACCAGGATGTCGAGGCCGTTGACTTCGGACGGCACGCCCAGCGTGTCATGGAGGGTAAGTCGGCAGGTACACGTCGTGCACCACTCATTGATCCCCAACAGAACGTCGCGCAGACGATGCGAGGGACAAGGTCCAGCGAGTCGTGCAAATCGCCCCTGTTGTCGAGGATGTAGCTGTCTCTCCGGCCCCGATTCTCACTGCTTGCATCGATCCGACTCTGCGAGCGCCGCCTACGGCGCCCACTGCAGCACGGGACATTGAAGGCAAGTCCATAGTGCATGTAGGTGCGTGCCCGCTGACACATGTGATAGGTGATTCGAACGACGACTCCGGCCCGGCTGACATGGTCGGCGCGGACATGGATGTCCATGCCGAGGTAAGTGTGGACGTCGACATTGCGGCGGCGGCAGAACACCCCGAACCCGCCAACGCGAGGCGGAAGGGACAGCGCATGGCAAAGAAAGGCGCGAAGACGAAGGGCAAGGCGAAAGGGGCGCGCAACAAGGTCAGTAAAGTTGCCGAGACGTCGGGCGTCGCAATGCCCGACGCGAGCGCGAGCGCGGCTGTCGTGTCCCGTCCGTCCCGCATCCGCGCGCAGACTGCACGCGCTCAGGGTCAAGATCCGTGAGCAGTTCTCTCGACTACTTCGCACATTGATACTCAGATAACTCCAGCTTGATGTCGTTGACCGAGCGCATCTCGGCTGCGGGCAGCATCTCGAGGGCTCGCGGCGCAGGCAGCGTCGGCGCCGCCGCCAAAGGCTTGTCTAAGCGGAGGGGCCGGGCGTGATGGGACAACTTAGTGTAGATCGGGCTGATGTATCGCGCTGTTATGGCCTGGATGTGATGAGGGTGCTATGTCTCAGGTGCCTGGTATCAGCAGTCTTCGGAAGAACCAGGGAACGTAGCAAGTCAGATCACATCGGGTCATACGGGGTCTTTGTGCCCGAATAAACGTTTAGAGGGCAACTCCCCCATCGGGAATTACGGACCCCATCAGGTCCTGCTCGGACAGAGTGCGGTGCGCCATAAATCTCGTTGAATCGCTCCCCTCGTTCGCTACATACACTCTGACGTCTGGCCACCATGAACTCGAACATATTGAGCGTCTTTCTTGCGGTACGTGTCCTCCCTGCCCATCTCTACGTTAGTTCTGACAGGACGGCATACTTAGACTAACGAGGACGTCATTCGAACGACCCTCCAGCATGGTCAGTCTTTCCTGGACGTCCTGAGCGGAATCCAGGCGGTCGTGGACGCGGTCGGGGACCTGCGGAACGCGCAGATAGAGGTGTGGAGTTATCGTGCGGGTGGGTGGATCGCCAGCACGGTGGAAACGGCGGGTGTCGCGAGACCCAATTTCTGGGTGCATGTGGTGCGTTTCCCGGGCGCAGAGCTCGTGCCGTCCATTGGGTCTGAGCTGGGGTGGGTGTACGATGTGGCCGGACTTAAAAACATACCCGACGACGTCGTCGAGCAAGACTGCCGTGGGGATGTGAACGAGGGCAAGGCTATCCGTGTCGTTCTGTGGCCCAAGGTTTGTTCTTGCCTCGCATTCACCTTTGATAGACTACAAGCTGACCGCTTGTGCGCTCAGGGATCGGAGGGTCCTCTCGTTTTCGTCGTCACGGCCGGCAGCAACGACACCGTTTGCCTGGGTCAATGCGGCCCCTTCCGCGCCGCCATCTGCGAAGGCGCCGACGCTGACGTCGAGTCCATAATTGGTGCTCTCAGTGCGAACGCCGAGATGGAAGTCTGGAACCATCCGTTCGGACGGTGGCTCTCGCGCTCGCTGTGGACAACGCTCCCGGTGCGTCGCCACGGACAGACCATCCTCGTCAAGACGTCCTCAACGGCCCTCGTCGTGGGGTTGGGCGCGGAACTGGAGGCGCAGGACTCGTCTCGCGCGTACCTCGAGGAGCTGGAAGTGAGTGACCGAGTGCTAAGGCGGTACATGCGGACTCTGACATTCAACAGGACGACGGCTCTGGGGACGTCAATGCCGACAACGCGGCCGTTGGATGGGGCCTTCCGCCTGCACAGGTATGCTATAAACACGTCGATAGACAGAAACGTCGCTCATGCCTCTGCAGGTTGCCCTCGGGCCGCTCGAGTGGGGCGCCCCTGAGCTTGGGGATTGGCAGGTACGCCCCATTCACAGGCGACCTCTTGTGATACTAACACAACCTCAGGACGTCTTAGACCGCGAGGCGACCATCAGCCTGTCCTCCGGCGACGAGTCGGACGCGACCGTCGTGATCGCCGATGGAGATTGGCGCATACCGGCCGGAGGGGCTACTGTCGTGCGCAAGCGGAAGCGCTCCGCCAGCATGAAACGACGCATCGCCAAGAGACGCGAGCAGGTGCTGAGCATGCAGGCGGGCCTCCGCGTATTCGTCGAGCAACAAGGCAGCAAGGAGGTCATCAATATGACGCTCGGCGAAACGATTGAGGACGCGATCGACGTCGACAGGGCCTAAGTAACGGTTGCTCTGTACCTACGATCTGTCTCCCCGATTCAGCGATCGGAACGAGTGAAAGTGGCGTGCGTCGAATATATGGCCCAGATTCGTGTGAGATATAAGCTAGATATAACGCTACAATAAACCCGACCTTGGTGAAAGCGGCCGAAATGAGAGGGTGACGGAAGGGCGGGGGACGTGACACAAGGGAGCCGGAGGCGCGGTATATAGCGGTCGAAATAAATCGGAAATTGGGGGCAAGGTCGAAAGGTCTTCGCACGGCTGCAGGAGACGATAAAAGGGTACGCCGGGACCAGGTCCGACAAGGAATTTCCCTCCGTGAGCTGATCTGCTCTTCTCCCCATACCCGCTCACGCCAGCGTGCTCGTTCGCCTTTTCGTCTTCTCCTCCTCCTGTCCTCCTATCCCTGCCATGCCCGAACTCAACCTCATTTGCCAGTACCGCCTCGTGCGCATCCGTGGACGTAGCCATCACGTCGCGAACGGCGGGCGTACGGGTATCTACAGCCCGGAACTCAGGCAGCTCTGCGAGCTCGATTCCCTTCACCGTATGCCCGAAGCGCCGCACTTCTGTCCGAAGCGCAACTGCCAGGCTCGCACTACCTTCACCGCGCAGCTGTGCTACGCGGAAGGATGGGCCGGAGCTTGGGGTTACGTGGTGAGTAGTGACGTTGGTAGCCGATAACCATATTTACTGATAACCATGTCATCGAAGTGCGATTTGTGCCACGGCATCCACTGGCCATGGCAGTCAGGACCCACGGAGCCCGTCCTGCGCCTCATTGAAGAACGTCGCGAGTTCGACCGCGAAGAGGAAGCCCGGCTGAAGCTCGCACGTCGGGCGTCGGCTGACGCGCGCCGACGTCAACGCGAGGAGGACGAGGCTCGGAAAAGGGCGAAGAAGTCTATTCGGGAGACAAAGAAGCGCGAGAAAGCCTTAACGAAGGCCGTACGTCAGGCCACTCAAGCCGAGGAGGCGGCGGACCGCGCACAACGCAAGGTTGAAGACGCCGCCAAGGTAGCCTTGAAACGCCGCGCCATCGCAGAGCGTCGTAAGAAGGCATCGGACGCCATGCGCGCGAACATGGACAAGGTATGATATATTTGTCATATCGATAAGGAGACGCTAACCTTCTGCCCATCGAAGGCACCAGCTCTCCATGTTCAGCAGGCGGAGAACGTCGAGGCCTTCGGGGTACGTCGCTCGAACTCATGGCGGCGTGGTGTACTAACTTCGTCTTGCATGATTAGAATATCGACAATACGAGGGGCACCTCGCCGACTACGAACACCCCGGTCATAGCGAACGATGTTGCCCCCGCCGCCAGAAGGAACATGGTATGTAGTTCGAGGATAGGCATAAGGTCATGCGCTGATGATCACCCATAGCGCATCCTCGACGTGGTCGTGTGGGCGAAGGTATGCGTTATTGGCAGCGATGTCATACATGAACTGACAATGGGCCTATCTAGGACAAGGTTGTGCCCACGCGAACCGAGGTCAGGGTCGACGCCGATAAGCCTCTCTGCTTGGGTCTATTGGGACATGTTCTCCCGGACCACGACCCCCGGGACCCCTACCCGTTCGAATATTGGGAAACCGGGCTGCAGAACTGGCTCCCCGTCATCGACGCCCTGATGGATCTCGCCCTCGCGCGCGATGCCCCGGTTCTCCTCGTCCGTGTCGACACGGTCACACGCTGCGAGCAGTTCGGCCTGGAATTGCACTGCCTGCAGCAAGATGGCGCGCTGGACGTCGCCAGCATCAGCGACCTTGTTGAAGCAGCAGGACAGTACCGACGGGAAGTCCTCGCACGGGGCGTCACTGTCCATGGCGTCTGGGTCGTCTTCTGGGCAGACGTATGTATTCCATCCTTAGTTCCTTATGCCAGCATTCGTCAATATACTGACAATGCGGCAGGACGACGTTCTCCCCACCGCTCGCCTCCTCCCTCTTGGCCCGAACGCCTCGATCAGACTGGACGATCACAGCGACGTCGCGGCGATCGTCGCTACTCATGCGAACCCGCGTTTCGAGATCTGGTCCCATCACAAGACGGAATGGACAGCTTGTGGCGTGGACGCCCCACTCCGGGTGCGCGCGAACACCAACACCATCCTGCTACGTATCGCAAACCTCGAGGGCATGCCGCGCCTGGGTCTCGAGATCGACATGCTCGACGTGGGGAGGACTGTCCAAGAGGGCGGGGCGCCTAACCCAGACCTGGACGCGCATGGTATCCTGGGCGGCTTCGACGCATGGGCCCATATGTACCAAGGGTACTGATACTGGTCTATGTATGTAGGGTGTCGTATTCGCCGTGGGTCACGGAGCGGCTGGCGCCCATATGCCTAGAGCAGATGAGGAGGCCAATGTGAACGAACGACGCTGCACCTGCCCTCCCGCCAGACGGCGTCGAACACATAAATACATCACTAATGCGCGCATGTCTTTAAGAGCGCGGTGGCGCTGCCATGACCCTGCTGCGAAGGATTCGCGCCCATATATCCTCCTCCGTGTCTCCCGCGTTACAGAAGAGGCCCAAGCCGCCACTCCCTCCAAGTGGACGCCGCGATCACGCTGTGAAATGCGCGCACAGGCCGGGTCGAGTGCATACCCAAAGCCATTGCCCCGGCGGATGGTATCACGTAGCGCGGGGCGGAGACGTGCGGAAGGGCGGGGACCTGAGTTGGAAAATGACAGGCTCGGAGAGAGTGCGCGGCGTAGGCCATGAGACGTCGCGCCAAGATGTGTTTGCGGAGGTGGCCAGCGAGGACGCGCGGAGTCGGGCGTTCGGATTGGCACGCTCGAGGGGCGCGGAAGGGAAGGCGGAGGTGCGGGGTAAGGGCTGACGCCGCGTGCAAGGAATGAAGATTACGAGGGCGGTCGCGGGTCGGCATCCAAATGTGCGGGGTCGAGCGCGTCTCGTCGAGGTTAGTTTGCGGGGCACAGGTGTACGAAGCCGGATGGTGAGGTGTACGCCGCAATCCGAGGCGTTCGGGGCGAGGACACGGCGAGTTTCAGGAGAGTGGGGGGCGGAGGGGCAACGCTGACGCTGCAGGCCATCCCTGTCGCGGAAGCTGAAGCCTGGAGCTGCGCCTTCGTGGAGTTGTGTATGTCCGAGGTACGTTCTCCAAACACGTCGCGCGCGGGGTCGCACCGCAGCCACATGAGCCAAATGACACTCACCGGAACTCGTGCAGGCTGAGTACCCAGCGTCGATGGATAAACACCTCGACATCCTGCTCGAAGCAAGCGGGTATTGGATATGACGTACTGAGCTGCGTTGCTGCGCCGAAATCTTCCTGCCCTATTACATTCGCTGACCGGTTTGCGAAGGTGTGGTTTGGAGAGTCCTTGTGGCGACTGTGTCCAGGGTCGATCTCGTGAAGCGCGCGTTATGGACGATGCAGGACGAGGTAGCAGACGTCCTGAACGCAAGGTAGGATTCGCGAGTACGACGATGCAGCAAGGTCAGAGGTAGTTATGCGCGGTGGTAAATGTCACGACTTGGGGATCGCATGTCGGCGTCGTAGGAGATTCGGAAGACGCCAATCTGGAGAAAGCGCCGAAAACACCCCGGGCTTTCAAACGGTCCTCCACCTTTCACTGCTACTCACTGTCTGTTTGTATCGGTGACAAGATATACAAGCCCTGCATTGCACCCCGGCATCCTTACTTGCATTTGACAAGTGCGAGAAAACAGGCGGCCAAACGAGCCCAAACGTTGAACTTTTGGCTTACACCTCCTTGTCTCTATCTCCCATCTCTCTCAACCTTGCTGCTCTTCACTCTGCCTCTCTACTCTACTGCTTCACTCCACATTATGCCTTTCAACCTCAGGCTGAAGAACTACATGGTGAATGCTATCTAGAACGCCGGGAGGCCCTGGAGGCCAGGGAGCTGACCCCAATGACAGGTTTTTGCTTCAATCTTCAAACTGAACAAAGGAGAACGGCGGTTTATCCGCTGGCGGGATTTCACCAGAGTATGTGTGACTAATGCATATTCCTAGTTTGACACTGAGGCTCCTGGTGCGTAACAGGCCATGGACCATGTGGGTTTCGACTACTGTAAGGAGCCCGGGACAATGAGGGTCTTCAAGTCGCGTAGTTTGGAACTCAAGTCCAGCCTTCACTGGCGCGAGGTTAGCCCAAGATCATACTACAGCTCTCCTTTGCTGCGCTAACCTTAGCACATAGCCTAAGGACGGCGTTTTAACCCCCCGCGATCAAAAGGAGTGAGTGCTAACTGCGGCCGCCACACTGGTATGCTCACATTTCGCGTCAGCTTGGCTGCCAAAATGACCGAACGGCTCGCCTGGAAGGCCGCTTCCTTCAAGTTGCAGAACTAAGGGTCTATCAGTACGGGATTTTTCAATGTTAAGGAAGCGGGGGTGGCGATGCATGGAGTCTATATCACGCAGTCCGATGTTCTCGGAGAAGCATGACTGTCGATCGGTTTTGATCGATCATAGCACCGACGATCAACTGAGGCACACCACCGGTGGCTCCGGCGTATAAGCCGGTCCTCACAGTTGTACAGAGTGATGTTTATGGACGAACAACACGAAAAAACAAGCTCAGACTTTCGATTTTGCATTAATGTAGTCAAAAATATATTGAGTGGCGTAGAAAAAGAAGAAGGGGAGCAAGTGAAACCCGCTTCGCAGCATGCGCGGGGAAGGGCGCGACGAACCCGGGCATCGATGCCAGCGTGGCTGACGGCGAGGGCGGGGATGGCGGTGACTGGGCGGGGTCATCCGATATCCTTCGGGAGCGCGAGAGGAAGAGAGACGGGTGGACGGTGGGCCGCCGGAGTCGCCCATGGCGAGCGCGGGGATAGCGACGGAGAGGGTGGTGCCGGGCGAATGCGCGACCACTCAGCTCTGCCCCGGCTCCGCAGCTCGCAGCCACCAAGAGACGCTGTGACCCATGGACCTTTCGTGTTGCTTCGGACTCGGCGGACTCGGACGGGAAGGCTCGTGTCGTGTTCATGGATTGGGGTTTGAATACGGAGCTTGGCGTTCGGGTTGTTGCCGCTGGGGGCTCACTGCGCGGGCGCGAACGCTGTTGTTACAGTCGAGGTCGGGGAACGGGAGCGTGGGTTCAAAATTTGGTGCCCAGGGTGTGAACACGGACGGAGTAGGCGGGGTGACAGGGCTCGCGCCCACGCATGCAGGTTGCGCGAGTGCGGGCGGGGGCGCGGACGTGGTTGTCGCGAGCGTCCGTGTGGCAGGCGTTGGCGCGGCGGTTGGCCAGAGCCTACAAGCCGTGTAGGTTGTGGTGGTACACGTGAACCAAAACAAAGAAAAGTACGTACCGGTAAGGATATTGTCTATGCGTGCGTGTGTGTTGCCCTTGCCTCCCACGAGACCCTGAGGACTGACTGAGATGAGCATACTGCAAGCACAGATCTTCATATGCTTCGTAGTCCAGGACTCGCGCGTGCCAGGTGAGGTGGCCCGCCGCGAGGAGAACGAGGTCGTATGGAGTGTCGTCAATCGGTGTGCTGCGAAACAGGCGACGGAAGCATGCAGCGGCATTGTGAGCGCAGGTGTTTCGGCGTGGGGCGTTTCGGAATGCGGAAGGCGAAGCGGCGACGCGTTCTATGCAGTGCATCCCCGCAGGCCTGTTCGGACATCATGAGTGGGGTTCGTATCGAGGCCAGCTGGAAACTCACCAGGTGGGAGCACGGAGTCCTTTGTGGAATGTAACATACGGTGCACAGCGGACGTCTACCGCAGGACATGGCTAGAGAGAACATGGCTAGAGAGGACGGATATCCATGCGCGCGCGGCCGGGAGTGTTCACGGTACCAAAGCAGCGAGGTAGAAGCGAGCAGGATGATAGAGAGAGAGATATACGAATCGGCGGTGTGGTGGCCGCGCAGAGGAGAGTTGTGCGCGACGTCGGTCATATGGGCGCCTGTATTGCCTTCATCGCGCCCGCCGCGCGCCCCAGCCTCGTACACTCAGCCCACCTAATCCACAGTCCGCCCTTCTCCATTTCTTCTGCTCTTGCCCACACCCGCCCACAGACAAGTCTAGAATCAGACACAGACGGTCAATATGAACTACCGCGCTCTCTGCGCTCGTCTTCCTGGGTGCCAGTGTCCGTGCGTGCCCCCTACTCCCGCTCACACACTCAGCCTGTCCCTTACCACAGCGCATGCCACCCACCCTCAGTCGCCTCAGCCCCCATCGGAGTCGTCGTCACGACCAGACAGGAGGTGTCCTCCAGCGTGCACCATGTCGGGCAGCTCCCACCACCCCCCGCTCGACGGCACCATCGCCAACGTCCGCCTCGTCCATCTCGACATGATCGGGGCGCGCCATCCGCACCACGCCGCCCAGGAGTAGCGCTGGGAACGGCCGCCACTTCTGCCAGTCGATGCGGGCCAACGTACTCGAGGCGAAGAACCGCTTGCGCCGGGCCCGACGCGTGCGGGGGACCCCGAGGTGGACGAGGACGTGCGGCAGAGGCAGTCGGCGGCGGATACCCTCCGTCGACGCTCGCAGGCAGCCAAGCAGGTTGCTAGCGCTGCATCGGGGGCTTTCAACTCTCCCGCTCGGACTCCACGGCCAGCCACGACCTCTCGCCGGAACATCGACATCGTGATGCCGGTCGCACAACGGGAGACGCCGCAAATCGAGAAGAACGAGCTCATGCGAGGGGAAACGGGGCCCAGGAGGAGGAGGAGGAGGAGCTGCGTCAGCCGCGGTAAGCGCATCAGATGCAGCTACGAGGCCACCGGCGTGATCTGTGAGTGGCATATGCCTCTTTGTCTGCATGTTCGATCGGCCTCTCAACGCGGTGCAGCGCGCCCGCACACGTCCGTCTCCGTCGCGAGGTTCTTCAAGCACATCGACTCCGAACTTCTGCGGACCAAGCCCCGCAAGCTTCTTCATCGAGATGAAGGTCCACAAGGACCCACCACCGTTATCAACCGCCTAGGCGGACATGTTGAAGCGGACGGAGGAGAGCCTGATACGCATGCTTGCGGAGAGGAAGGTCGGCACAAACGTCTATGGCGGTGCAGTCTCTCAGAGTGGAGATGGGCGGCCTCTGAAAGAGAACGAGCAGAATGTGAAGAATCGGATGCGAGAGGCGCGGTTCAACGGGCACACACAACAGTGCGTTACTACGGATTTCTTCAGCCGTACCCTCCACATCTAACCCTTACATGAAACACAGGTCGCAACAGGAGGCAGACGCGTGGAAAGAGCTATCAGACTCGTACGATTGTCATAGGAAGTCGGACCATGCGGAGATGGAGAAGCGCAAGAGTGGGAAGGAAAGGGCCAGGAGCGCGCATCGGCGGAGAACCTGGACGACTGGGATGTGGAATGGCGGGACTTGCCCGAGGAGCTTCTCTCACACGGGAGCGTGGAGCTGGGGCGGGGGATGGTCATGGGGGAGGCGTCCAAGAAGAATCCGCTTCGCGGCCTACTGCAGGAGCTGGAGTACACGGTGTGTCGCTCTTCCGACCAACTTGGAAGCATTGCTTATGGTCTTATAGACGGATTGGGTTCAAACTTGGCAAACGCCGCCCTCCAGCTCGCTCTGCTCTTATGTCCCACCAACCCATCCTCGGCCACCCGCGAGAGACCCGCAAGACATATTCCGTGCTCTGTCCCGCATAGACGCGGAGCGTCCGCTGACAGAAGTCGGCGATGCCGCGCGACGCGCCATCCGGGAGGCGCAGCGCGCAACAGACGCGTCCGTAGGGATGGCCGAACGACGTGTGACTGGGGTACCTCGGCCGAATCCTGCGCACACCTCCAGGGACGCCGCCGCGGTAACACCCCCCGCTCGTTAGGGACAGGAGACTTCATCGTCGCAATATGCACCCTCTATACTGTTACAGGCTGCGTGTCTCTCTGTTCTTCTTGTCTATAACTCTACTCTGTGGTCCTAGCGACATGTAGGATGCCCCAGTGGTACACATAACAAGTATTCCGCTGCTTCAAGTGGCTCGAACGCGCCGGAGACAGGTTGACAGGTGCAGCAGGGCCCGTCTTCGTCACCCTCGCCATCGTCCTACTCTCGATCGGCGTGTTCTGCTTCTGTACGCCTCGCCTCCCCATGCATATCCATGCACCCGCAGCTAACAGGTACCAGTCGAGGTCATCGGCGCGGTTCGCCGGCGCCCGTGCTACTCAACCTCTCTTCAGCGCCGCGTTCTCCTACCGCACACAGGCCGCGTGCAAAACTACCGGTACGCGTGCTCCCGGGTCCGCCGAGTCTAGAGGGCCCTGCTGAGCGGTCGTGGGTGTAGCAGCGAGCAGTGGCTGGGGGCCGGGGAACTGTGAGCGGTCAGCGTGGGGATATTAGACGAGGTTGGAGGGGACGTACAGCGGCGGCGGCGGCGGTATCCAGACGACCACATGGGGCCGCGCAAAGGCTGCGCCTCCGCCGGAATGCGAGGCTCCGCGCGGCGCAGGAATCTATGCGGCCTCGCCCCGTCCTAGTATAGGTATGTATATGATAGGACTACGTAGGTACCTACGTTAACGCCATCGACACTACGGCCCGTGAACGTACCTGGAACGGGCGGTGAGTAAGCATCTATTCCGTGCGAAGAGCGGTACGCTGATGTACCGTGGCAGGCTCGGAAGCGGGGGTTGAGGACCCTCACGTTCTGGACGAGCGCGTGAGTGGCGGGTGTCCCAGCTACGCACGCAGGAGGGGATGTACCGTGCACGTGGGCACTGTGGGCTGTCAGCGTGGGGATGGTGGACGAGGGTGGAGGGGGACGTACAGCAAGGCGGCAGCGGCATCATGACTTCGCAACGGTGAGCCGGGACACTGCATGCACGATGGTACGGGTACAGCGATGAGGCGGAATAATCCGTAGATCTCAGCACCGAAGGCGTGTTGAGCTAAGGCGCAAGTCTGCGGAAGGCAAGGAATGCGAAGGAGACCCCCGCCCGCCACGTCTGCGGGGTACACTAGCCGTCCCTCATGCCTAAGGATCTTCCCTAGCCGAGGATCCGTTGTACGTGAACTAACCTCGGAATACGTACCTGGCTGGCGGGCCTCACTTCGGTGCTCCTGGACGTCTGGGTGCTGCGTAGGCGGTTGGTGCATGAGGACGCGAGGATGGGCTTCTGGGGAAGTAATAAGTGACTAGTTAAGTGTGTTATGAGGACATGCGATCACTTACATGCAGCTTCGACTGACCTTGACTGGCAGAAGGCGGCCAACCAACATGTGGCTAGGGGGGACGCGGGCGCGAGAAGGGAGAGGGGATAGGGTGGATATGGGGGCAGTCGGCAGCCGGGCGTCCAAGCTAGTGTCGCTGGGTACGGCCAGCGAGCGCGAGGGTGGAGAGCGTCGGGCGTCGGAGGGGAAGGTGACAAAGGGAGAAGGCGGGGATGGGGGGCGAGACGAGCGAGAGGAGAACTGAAAAGTCGGAGATAAGGCAAGTGGGCGCCCAGAGGTGAAACCCGCGCGGGTTGTAGAGCTCGGGAGAGGTCGGGGGACGGACGCCGAAGGAGCACGGGTGAGAACGGCGGGGGAGGAGGGTCCGGGCCTCGGGCGTCGGACTGAAGGGGAGGGCGGGGCGGCGTTGGTTGGTGGGCGGGATAGCTTTGACAGGCCTTGATGTCGGACAGGACGGGTGGGGTGAGTTGGGCCTGTCGACGTGCTCGGTCTGTCTGCGCTTGGTCTGCGCGTGTGTAAGAGCTAGCTATGATATGTCAGTCGCGCGCCTTTGTGTCCCAAACACTCACTAGCGTATCGTGCTCGCGAGCGTGTACGCCCGTCTGCGTGGTCGTGGATGGTTACTATCAAGGCTTGGCGCACGCAACTGCTCTGTGGGCGCTTAATACATCGGTAAGCGATGATAGGCGCCCACAGAGCAAAGTTGCAACTTTGCGCGCCCTATTTGGCGTAGAAGTTGCAACTCGTCGTGTACAGGGCTCGGAAGCCAGCCCTGACGGTGTTCAGTGGCGTCGTCCCGGCGACGACGTCGACGCTAAGGCGATCCCCGATGGCGTCCTGTGGCGTCGCCCCGGCGACGACGTCGATGCTGAGCCAATCCCGGATGGCGTGCAGTGCTGCCGCCCCCGCAAGGAGGACCCCATCCCCGACGGTGTCCAGTGGCGCCGCCCTCGCGAGGACTCGGAGAGCGAGAAGCCCGACGGCGTTCAATGGCGTCGCCCCGGAGACGACGTCGACGCTAAGGCGATCCCCGATGGCGTCCTGTGGCGCCGCCCCGGTGACGCCGTCGTCGCTGACCTGACAGGGACTTCACTTAGTTCGTTAATCAACTCGCATTTATTAATGCATTTCACCGATCATCCCGCCCATTAAGGATGGGATTTTAATCCATATAGTTTCCGATGTCCAGTTCGTAGAGCGATTATCGTAGCGTTTATCACACTTTATCCGCCCTATATCATTGGATTATCCCCCACTCCCACCGGGACGCTTTGCCCCAATGTCGATTATCCCCTTGCCTACCCGCCCGATCAACCACACGGATAATCCAGTCTATAATTCTGTGGCATATTCATAAAAATTGTGCTGCACTGCGACTCGAACGACCGACTCCCTGTCAAAGCCCACTGCGCTACACCAACTGCGCCAAGTGTCCCTGATATGTGACCATAGTCCCAGCGCCCAGTACCATTACCTCCTGCGCGATAATCCCTCGATTATCCCCGCCCACCCTCACGGCCGCTCTTTCATCGTAAGTGCCGCTGCTCTTTCCACACGTCGCGACA